GTCTCACAATGAAAACCACGGACTTAGAACGTTTTATGCTTCGCTTCATTTAAAATGACTATGGAGACAACCATCACCTTCGGACCAGAGACATATCACTTGAGAACAATGGTAGCTTTATAACTAATTGTTACTCGTGTTGTTTCTAATTGTTTTCGCTCTTCAATTGTGACTTTTCTTACACGCAAAGTAACATATAAAATCGTGTTCTTGTGTGAGTTATATATAAAATAAGTTGGCGACCAAAAATTTACGAACTGGCGACCAAAATTTTTCCGTTACTCGCCAGCTGGCTCCCGAAAGAAAAAGTTAATTTCGAGCCCTGAACCCTGAATATTAATACACTCTTTCAAGACTTGGTAACAATCATTCTTTAAAATATTCTTCAGCAGGTGGCAGATTTAAGTTTCAGCTTTAGTTATTGTATTGTTTACAAGACTAAATCTGCTTACACTTCAGGTTATTCCAGTATCCACCACTGCACAGCCCTTATCAGTGGTCTCTGCTAGTCCAAGTGGTACCAGTTCTGGGGTTAAACCCGGGACTGCTTTGGTAAGCTTTTGTGTTGTGTATTCACAAGTTCAAAAAACATAAATACTTGTTGACATAGCCTGATGAAAATGCTACTTGAACATTTTATGCATTTAGTTGGGTCTTTTCACACCTGCTTGAATGTTTAGACCAGGCTGTGTGAACAGAAACTGCCAGTTTTCTTTTGTTCCACATAAGGTAACTAGCTATCAAGTGGTAACAGAGAGTATTGTTTTATGATAACTGTACAACTGTAACACAGAGAATGTACCAGTACAATGCGAATTATGCAGTTTGGGTCAGAGATAGAGGGTAGTAACTGTATAAAAGTTAAGGAAGCAAGGAAAGATTAGTATTAAGCACCATCCTCTTATCTTAACTCATTACATGGCCTAAGCCGTTCATTTTGAAAATTGCTTCTTTCGGGATGACTGTAGAATTTTTCTTTACGTGTTCAAGAGAGTGTTATAAGTAGAGTGAAATATGCTTGGATGTGGTGCTACAGGGGAAAAGTAATTAAAATTATTATTTTCTGTAAGTTGCGGTTCATTGTTAAACCACATCTCTTTTTAGGGCTACCATAAATTTATGTGGGTTGCAAACATTCTTTTGAATATCATCCTGCTTGGTGTTTTGTGGTTGTAATGTTGCATACACTGTGCAGTAGGTCATTTTGTTGGTATTGCACGGCATAGATATCTTGGTATCAACAAATTAGAACCCCACTGAAGCCAGATGGCTTTCATAGCACCTGTTCTAAGGGCTTATTACTGTGACAGTTATATTGTAAAACATGTGTTAGATCATTGTACTGCATGACAAACCATCTATGGTGTAGGAGCAAGCTACACGGTCTATCTATACAAAATTATCTATACAATCTATACAAAATTAATGGCACAACATTGTTGTGCCAATAAAAATTACAGGTGGATATTCTTTAAACTAACAATTTTTATGATTGAAAATGCTAAATGCTTGTAGAAGCAATGTATGCAATACTGATGTGTAATATATAATGCAATTGCTGTGGCTTGACAATTCAAATAAGCATTTCTGTCTGTTTAGGAAGTTGAGTGTTGTGTGTCATTTACTGCCAGAACATTCAGTTGCTCTGAGCGTTTTGTTTCTCATAGCTTCTTTTCAAAATGTTGTACTATCTAAATATTACAGGCCATCACTTCTACTTGCTCTTCAACTTGCCATTATGGTCCTGAGAGCAGAGGTTTCTTGCAATAAAGAATGTTGTCCCTTTCATAGGAGAAAAACAAACCGTGGCACCAGAAAAATTAGGTTTTAACATCTTACTTCAGAATTAAATGTATTTGTTTTAAGAAATGTAAGCTCACCATGTGGCAGAGCTTCTCCAAAATACAAAAACTAACCAAGAAGTAATTTGATCATTTTGGATAAACCTAATCACACTTCAAATTGAGCTACTAATTTTGATATTTCTTTCATGTAATGGTTAAATATTTGGTGTCCATTTTATTTCTAAAGTGACGTTCAATTTGGACAATCAGCACTTCGCAAAACCCCTTCATTGAATGTAAATACAAAAATTTTAACAGCAAACACCAAAACATGATTGTATAAATCTGTGTAGCTTACTTGTACATCAATATGCCATGTATGGTTTGTTTTGCTCTACCATGATACCATGATTGCATGTGTGTGATCATGATATTTGAAAGTTGGCAATTTTCTTGGTTACAGCTGTACATAAATTTGTTCAAATTAAGTCCAAATCTGCTCTTGGCTTTTGGTAATTGCTAATTGAGCTGCAACCCCTCCCTTTTGTCAATTGTGAACAAATCAATTGCAGCTGCAACCAATAACTGAAACCTCTGTTCTCCTCTCGCTAGGCTCCACATTTCCTTGCTGAGCCTCCCAACGTCAAAGGCGTGTATTGCGTTGTGGCCAGTCTACCAGTGGTTAACAGCTCTGGCAAGACAAATATGACCTTTAAATTCTGGAATTGTATCATGTGTTCCGAGTACTTTGTCCAGAAACCGGAAGTTGTATTTCGTATTGAGCATCCTCATTTGTTTGGGAGCCATCCGGACTGGCTCTATCAGGCAGCTGTCTGTCAAAAATGCCACCAGAGTTTGAAGGAATCCAAACAAGGTACATCAACAAGTTGTGCTCCTAAGGAGGCTACGCCAGTCTCTCATGTCAAAGCAGCTGGCGGCAATCAGCTGGAAGGTGCATCGTTAACTGCACAGCTTGTTATAACAAACAGCTCAGCCAAAGCACCTGATACCAGTGTTGAAAGTAACAGTGTTGTTGTTAGTTCTGTTGCTGGAGCAGCACCACTGCAGTCAACAACAACTGGTGACGACAAAGATTGCGAGAAGGAATCAGAGGTTTTGTTTGATTGTTATGTCTGCTCAAAGCAGGTGTGTAAAAATGACCGGCAGGGGAAGCTCAGGAGGAGTAAGTTTCCTACACTGTTCAGTAATTTACCTGAGAGCGTTGGCATTACAAAAGTTTGTTATACCTGTTGTGAAAGACTGACACGGCAGCGTGATAGGTTTGTGAGTGCTGGTATCCCTGAGGAGGACAGGGATTATGCTGCGCATATTAAGATATGGACAGGCCAAGATATTACCAGCAAGTTGTGCTCACCTTCCCACAAAAACATTGAAAGTTCAACTTGTTTTGTGTGCGACAAATGCATCCCTTGGCATGTACAAGAAGAGGTCAAGACCCTGAACAGGTCAAAGTTTCCATCTCTCTTTTCCATTGTTCCAGATCACATAGTTAAGCTGTTAATCTGTGATGCTTGCAACAGAAAAATGCTGAAAGTGAAAGGTAGATTTGACGACAACAACACTTTGGAGGAGGAAAGAGATTACTGGGTTTACATCAATAGCTGGCGAGACCAGAAAGGCTTAGAGAAACATATGTATAGCAATTAGCACATCAAGTTTATCAAGGTTATTTATAGTGTGACAGTTTAAAATGGCCAACTCAAAGCCCAGTCATAATAGAAATACAAGTAGAAATTTATCTAGAGTATAAAATGTTCCAGAAAAACTACCATTTTTTTAACATTGATTAATTGTTTATCTTGAGTACAGTGTTCAGTGTCATGTGTCCAATTTTTTTATGCCCAGGCAGGACATCTGGCTTACTTGGCTGATAATGGACTATATTGTACTATGTAGCTTTTAACGTTTGATCACATTCGTTTCTTCGGACATAATGTTTATTGAAGCTGTGACACATTCCAGCACTTCTAAATGGCTTGCTCCAGACTACATGTTTAGGGTATTGTAATTTAATTTTTTTCCCTAGAGCATGCCCTTAATTGCAGAAGGTTATAGTCAACTGATTTTTTTTGCTTCAAACTAGAATATCTTGAGGCTTTCACCAAATCCTGGGGGGAACACTGAATCATCCATGTTGCAGAAAAAAATGTAATTTGAAGAACCTGAATTGAACTACATTCTTCTTAATAACTGACATTACTTTATAAAGATATTACTCTGTAATTAAGGTGAAAATAATTTGTTAAAACGTTTTTTGTCGTAACTTTTCTGGTAATAGAATAATTCATTCATTCAATCAATTATGGTGATGTTTCCAGTACAGTTGAACCTTCTGTAGATGCACACCCTTGGCAGGGTTCACATTTACCTTGAAAGTCCTTGAATTTGAAAATTAAAATTCTAGACCTTGAAAATCCTTGAAAAGTATATTGGGTCTGTGAGAAACCTGAAAATATGATGGAAAGGAACAAGCTACTGAAGAGCATGACCAATAAAATTATCCACTCAGTGGAAGAACTAAAAAAGACTTGGACTTGAACAAATCTGCCAGGTATCCCTTAAACATGAGCATCTAGTGTCAGAATGGTATTTTTTGGTGCATGGATGGAGTTTAAAAAATTGAAATTGTGTCCTTGCATGTTCTTGAAAATTCCTTGAACTTTTAGTCCAAAAGAGTAAGAACCCTGCCTTGGGACCTGAAATAGTGCCTATTTGAAGCAGTAGTACTCCTACTAAGGTTGACAATGTAGTGTTTGTAAGTTGTTAGAACCATGACTAAATGTCTGCTTATTGGAGGTGCCCACTAGTGGAGGGTTAACTCTGGTTATATGTTACAGTCCAAGTTTGGTTAAATAGCCATCTGAATGATGCTTAGAATCTTTTCTGTAGTGTTCCTATAGTCAGTTAATTTTGAGCGGGGAATAACTTAGGGTCAGTTTCCTCCACTCTCAGTTCTGGTTGCATTGCTCTTCCTGAAACAGTGGCTGGTATTTGAGGCTAGTAATAGTTATTTCGAGTGTACATACACTGCCCTTTTGAAGAAAGCCTGATCTCAAGAATGGAGCTTTTCATACAAAAGAAAAACAAGTCTTGTTCAGAACCAAATTCTCCCAAATAGTAAGGAGAATATATGTAAATCTTGAGACTAAAAGTTTTAGTTACAGCGTAAAATCATTTTGTGTTCAATTCAGTGATTCTTAAAACAGCCAAAACTGGCATCAAGGGACCCTGTGACTGTGACAACTGGTGATGTGATCACTTTTCAGACCAGAAGATATTTTCAGTAATCACCTGATAGAAAGAAAAATGTCTTCCAAAGCATGACTGATTCAAATATGCCAGTGACAGACACAATAAATGTTTTCCTCTCAGAAGTCCAAAAGAAAAAAAAAACTTGAGCTTCCTAATCATTGACATTTTGAGTTAAGAATGTTCACTTTCCATGATTTTTACTGTTACCTTTTTACACCCAATCCTCCAAATTCAAACCAAACACAACTAAAAGGCTAACAAAATCACAAAAGAAAGTGCAGGAAAGGCTAAAAGTTAAAATAAAAGCCTGACATTGTTTCAAATTTTGCCTTGTGCACAGTCCCAAAGAAAACATTAAAATATGTGTCTCAAAGGATAAGGGAAAGCCAGTTTCCATGTTCAAATGGAGTTGCTGTTTGTTTGGCTGCAATCTCTTGAGATTACAACCAGAAATCAGTATCTGCTTATATCAAATTTCCTTTTTATTGATGAACTTCTGGGGTCAATGCGTTAGCAACTAGAGACACTGTCCATCCAGGCTTTTAGCGAGAATTTGAAAAGTGGCCATCCAAAGTGTGCTATATAGGGCCTGCTCAAATGAGCAATTTATAAGGCAACATATGAAAAGTAATAATTTTCTATAGAAGATGGCTGTACATACCTGGATGCCCATCTGGCTAAAAGCTTATGTCCATCTGATTGTTTCAAGATATTATTCGTTTTGATTATATTCGGTCTTTTGAGAATTGCATTGGCAATGGATTCTTACCGAATACATGTGGTTAGATAATGCATGAACTTTTTTTAAATTTCAGGATGCTCATTCAAAGTAGAGTAGAGTTTAGAGAGCATAGCTCAAATGAAAATTTATTTGTCTAAAAGTTATGGTTGTACATTCAAAATAAATTATTAGCCCAAGGAATCTCCGAGTCTCTGCTGATTTTACATCTGACTATTTTATACAGCCAACCCTCTCTAATATATACACTGAAGAGTTGGAACAATGTGTCCCTAACAAGGCAGGAAAAAAGTTTGAAATCCACTGGCTCAGCAACAGTAAGTGGGCCAGTACATTTCACTTTTCACTTGCCTGTGCTGGTCTGATTGGAACAAAACATCCAATATGGTGGCCAATATGACAATCAGAGGATGAAGGAAAACAAAGAATGCTTGGATTTTGAATTAGTCCATGCTTTCAACTCAATGTTTTGTTCACCTTCCACCCTCTTACCTCTGGGCAATCAGATCTGGTTTTTTTTCCAGTCTTGCCTAATAGAGAGATGTCCATCTCAGAGAGATGGTGGTAAAGAGTGGTTTCATTGTAACTGTAAAATTACTAGCTGTAATTATAATGGCCTAGATAAATTTTAAGTACTAGCTACTTTTGTATTCTTCAGCGAGACTCTACAACATCATTTAGTACTTGAGCTTTGTTTGGAAAATGTTTTTAAGAATATGTATGTAACCCATTACACTTTGAGACTTTTTTCTGTAGTCAAGGACCATCTCTTCTCAATTTTCTTGTTCAATGTATTTTTAGTATGCCTAGCATTGCATTTTAGTGTGCCTTGCATGTTGCATTTGCAAGATCTTTGCCCTATTCTTCCTTTAGTTACGCTTGTTAATTTTGCAGTTCCAGAGAACATCCATAACCACCTCAAGAAAGGTTAATGGAAATTCCAAGGAAGGGTGGAGGGGGGGGAGGGAGAGGTTCAA